ATTGCAGTTGTGTCTGTTATATAAAAAAAAACTATAGGAGCTACATTAAAGATGTTAATTGAAAAAACGGTCAGCAACACAAAGAGTAACCATTAGTATGTATAAAAATAAGAAGATGTGGTATGATTGCCAATGAGACAACTCTCCACAAGAGACCAAATGACACAGAAATATAAAAGTAGTAGTTAACAAACTGCAAATGAGTGACACAGGTGTGCCTCTTGTTTTAAAGTTTCAACGGTTAAAACTTGTACAAGTTCATTTTTCATATTCTACGCAACCTATCATAACGATGCATTGAAGGAGTATGACAACCTCACACAAGAAGGTTACATTGACCTAAATTTTACACTTCACTTACTAATAATTGTTAAATTTTATATTTGAGTTCATTTCTTGGACACTAAGCGACTTTTAATGATATCACATGACGTAAGGGTGCATTTCGGAGATTATAGCAACCTCATATGAAGACCTATGTGTAACACTTCATTGATTCATATTAGGTTCAAGTCCAATATATTAACTTAAAGTATAATTCTCATTGAAGTGCATGCACTTTGATTTATTTCCATATCTATTTTGAATACAGATGTATTATACAAAGTTCACGATACCAATGAGGCCAACCCGACTAATCCAGTCGTTATATTCCGACTCACTATCGATCACTCTAGAGGACAACTTTGGTGGATAGTTGTCTCATTTGCAATCATACCACATCTCCTTCTTATACCCCACGCAACGAGTTGCGGAGGGTATAATGTTTTTGACCCGTCCGTCCGTCCGTCTGTCCGTCTGTCCGTCCGCCTGTCCGTCTGTCCGTCCGTCAGTCCGTCTGTCCGTCCGTCAGTCCTGTTTCTTGTCATCACAACTCCTCTCAAACCACACAACAGAATTTCATGAAACCTTTTTAGATAATAAGGACATACTATGTAGTTGTGCATATCGACAGGAAATTACGAATCATTTTTTTTCCAGGAGTTACGCCGCTTTGAACTTATTTGCCCAAGATACTACTGCAACAGTTTGTCATCGCAACTCCTCTCAAACCACACAACAGAATTTCATGAAACCTTTTCAGATAATAAGGACATACTACGTAGATGTGCATATCGACAGGAAATTACGATTCAATTTTTTTTTCAGGAGTTACGCCTCTTTGAACTTATTTGCCCAATATACTACTGCAACCTTTTGTCATCGCAACTCCTCTCAAACCACACAACAGAATTTCACGAAACCTTTTTAGATAATAAGGACATACTATGTAGTTGTGCATATCGACAGGAAATTACGATTCAATTCTTTTTCTAGGAGTTACGCCCCTTTGAACTTATTTACTTTAATGTACTACTGCAACAGTTTGTCATCGCATCTCCTCTCAAACCACACAACAGAATTTCATGAAACCTTTTCAGATAATAAGGACATTCTACGTAGATGTTCATATTGACAGGAAATTATGATTGAATTTTTTTTTTTGATACATTTTTTTTTTCTTACACTTATTTTATTTCTCCAATGACAATGTGGGGACGTGGGGTAGGTGAGCGCGCTCACGAAGGTTCTTTCATTTTATATCTTGTTCTCCGGATTATATAGACAGTTTATCTTCCACTAGTGACGCCCATCATGTAGCTCATGATAAAATCCGACAATAAATCGTTTTCGGTAATTTTTTTTTTACTGTAAAAAAATAAAATTGTATTCTAAGACCTTATATAAATAACCTAAATTGCTCAATCACGCCACCATTTTTAGCTCACCTGGCCCAAAGGGCCAAGTGAGATTTTCTCATCACTTGGCGTCCGTCGTCCGTCGTCGTCGTCCGTCGGCGTCGTCGTCCGTCGTCGTTAACTTTTACAAAAATCTTCTCCTCTGAAACTACTGGGCCAAATTTGACCAAACTTGGCCACAATCATCAAAAAATGTGTCCGGTGACCCGGCCAACCAACCAAGATGGCCGCCATGGCTAAAAATAGAATATAGGGGTAAAATGTATATTTTGGCTTATATCTCTGAAACCAAAGCATTTAGAGCAAATCTGACAGGGGTAAAATTGTTTATCAGGTCAAGATCTATCTGCCCTGAAATTTTCAGATGAATCGGACAACCCGTTGTTGGGTTGCTCCCCCTGAATTGGTAATTTTAAGGAAATTTTGCCGTTTTTGGTTATTATCTTGAATAATATTATAGATAGAGATAAACTGTAAACAGCAATAATGTTCAGCAAAGTAAGATCTACAAATAAGTCAACTTGACCAAAATGGTCAGTTGACCCCTTAAGGAGTTATTGCCCTTTATAGTCAATTTTTAACCATTTTTGTAAATTTTTGTAATCTTTTACAAAAATCTTCTCCTCTGAAACTACTAAGACAAATTTAACCAAACTTGTCCACAATCATCATTAGGGTATCTAGTTTAAAAAATGTGTCCGATGACCCCGCCCGCGAACCAAGATGGCCGACATGGCTAAAAAAGAGTACATAGGGTAAAATGCAGTTTTTGGCTCATATCTCTGAAACCAAAGCATTTAGATAGAGATAAACTGTAAACAGCAATAATGTACAGCAAAGTTAGATCTACAAATAAGTCAACATGACCAAAATTGTCAATTGACCCCTTAAGGAGTTATTGCCCTTTATAGTCAATTTTTTACAATTTTCATAAATTTTGTAAATTTTTGTAAATTTTTACAAAATATTTTCCACTGTAACTACCGGGCCAAGTTCATTATAGATAGAGATAATAGTAAGGAGCAAGAATGTTCAGTAAAGTAAGATCTACAAACACATCACCATCACCAAAACACAATTTTGTCATGAATCCATCTGTGTCCTTTGTTTAATATGCACATAGACCAAGGTGAGCGACACAGGCTCTTTAGATCCTCTAGTTTTTGTTGTTACTTCTAGATTATTTATAACCCAATTGTGTAAGTTGGAAAGTTTAAGTTTCAAATAATTACTTGAATTCCCATATGGCCAACCGAATTCATCACTGATTGATTGACTTAATTACTATGTAAATTATTTATTATGTTTGTCATGTCTTGTTCCATCTTGTTAGAGGGAAGTAGTATACACCTGTATGCTTTTTCTGCCATCCAGTTCCCTTTAACAATATTTTTATCTATAAATTATTTAAAATTGAAATTGAATTAAGACAGTCAGTCTCGCCAGTGACAATATTTATATTATATACGGTATGGATAGATTAGAAATATTTCGTCTGTTGGCGTTTTATTTTAACAAAACCAAAGTAAGGCAATTACATGTACATATAATAATAAGTCAGTATTTCAAAGATTATAATTAAAATCAATGAAATAACGGATTAGCCATTTGTCATAAGCTGGCTAAAACACGATCAAGTTTACCATTGAATCATTATGAAATAGAAACGGGAAGAATATTGTAATTAACTTGTTCATTAGATAAATTGATTAAAAACTAACACGTTTGCATTGCACAGACATGAATTTTTCACGAATCAATATACTACTGACTACATGTATTAGCCGGTGTAATATAAAATCAAATTATCACATTTCAAGGATTTATATCTCTAGCATTACGCCGAGATTACTATATATGTGTTATAGTAATCTCAGCATTAAAACATTTCAATTTATAAAGCATCCAGTCATATTTGTCGAACTGATGCAATTAGTCGCTTCATGTAAATCTTTATATATCCACCGCAGATAATCGTAAACTTGTACAAATGACATATCCGCAATTATCAATATATTACAAAAAAAATGTATGTACTTTGTCCTTTAATAAAAGTAACCGCAGTATGCATTAATTTTGTCAATAATGTAAAGGCTAGATCATGATCAAAGATACAGAATGTTTTCTGTACGACACACTGGCATGCCTGGGTAAATATACACACTCAGAGATAATTTACATGTAAAAAGAGGTAAAGAAAAAAAAAAAGATTTCGTCTTATTCATTGATTATTCATTAATTGTTTAGTTGATAAGGGCTATTAAAATTCATAGTAATAACTTTAAAAGAACTAAAACATTTTTCAATCACACCACGGCGTATTTTGTGTATTTGTTTCATAGGGTATGCATCTCAATCAAGTCATTTTTTTCTGAATGTCACTGTTGTCAGAGTAGCTTAAGTTTATAGATTGTTCTATTCATTGTTCTCGAAATTCGAGGACATTTGAAGAAGTTTGTTTTAAAGAACTTTAATTTCATCGTGCATGATATGAAAAGGAAATCTTCATTACAAAAAAAGATCAAAATTAAAGTATTTGCTCAATGAGGATCCTGTTACATTATTCGTTATCTTTACAATCTATTTCCTAAAAGATAATATTATTCACTGTTTCCTTGTTGATTTAATTACACTTTTAGATAAATCAATAATTCATACATGTATCTAGTACTTAGACACATATACTAATATATATATATATATATATATATATATATATATATATATATATATATATATATATATATATATATATATATATATACACAGTTTATATAACGATCGAACGGTTTTTAATTGCATAACTGTTAAGATTGTTTTAGTTAAATCAGAATAGATTGCCATGATATGATTTATTTACATCATCATTATCATACTGATGATGCGAAATATTTATAGATACTTATTTTAATTGTTACCTTTTATTAATATTCGTGTTGTTTGGTACACCTTTTCCGGCATATATATATAATTCATTTTTTGTGTACAGAATCATTTCTCATAACGATCCAGCGCCCTCGTAAGAAAGATCGTTGACTAATATCTAGACGTTGTATTTATATTACGCTAAAAGTGCATAGAACTAACAAAAAATTACCAAGTGGACTTATGAAAAGTTTGAACCAGAAAAGGTCGTAACAGTTGAGACTTGTGGAAAAGGATGTCACTTAATATTTATACAACAACATTTAAATTTATTTTCATCGTATATTATTGCATGCTATATGATTTGTGTCCATGTGATCATTCTTGTGTGTATTTCTTGTCAAGCACTGTTGGAGATGGTCTAGTATTTCAGAACTCGGATTGCAGTTTAATAATTTTAAGTAAAAGTATTTATTAATAGCATCATTTACATTTCAGTTATAACAATTGAGTTAAGGAAATATTTTAATATTTAAACCTGAAACTTCACTGACCTACACATTCACGTCAGAACAATCGCAACATTGTTGATCTTATGTTTAACTACCCGTAACTCGATCAACAATACTTTTAACAAACCTGTATTAACAAGCAAAATAGGAGTTGCATGCAATATGAATTTAAATGTATAAACAATATACTAACTTGGATTATTGGTATTATGGATTACAACGACTACGGTATTACCATTTCATTATAAAAGGTAAATGTTTTTAAACACACCCGACGTAACCTGTGTACATGTATAGGAATACTTATTGGGACACAGTTTACGTTTCAGACCGACAACTAGATCGAAACTGATTAATTAGACCTATTATAGAGAGCAAATGTGACAATATATATTCATGGAATCTAAACTTATTATGTATTTATAATTTATAGGAATTGTAATGGAACTATAAAATCAATACCTATACAACAATCGATCAATGCATGTATAGAGATCTTACCTGCCATTGTGGTACTATTGCGGGGCTTGCAATATATACTGAAACACGGAACTAAATCTAGGAAAAAACCTACCGGATATTATTTTGGATTACATCAATGTTGGATCATCATTGGTAAATATCTGTGTTTTCTAGTTTATAGGAGCCTTATTGTACTTGAAGTATGCATTTAGATCGCCGAAAAAATAAAATTTCAGCATGAAAAAATCAACATCGAGGTTGTTCATTTGTGCCTTTTGCTTCTACTTCAGTTGTATGCTACTTTTGTGGTCAACAGATTTTCATCAGACGGAATACTCCAATAAGCCACAAGTTCATAACGAAAATCATGTGTTCACGGTAGAAAAACCGAATAATTCTGCGAAAAATGAGAGCTTCATCGAAGTACCCGAACATTACTGGAGAAACGTAACTACGATTCCGTACAAAGCTTTTTATTATTCGGCGTATGCCCATACATCAAATATCATCCGATTGTTCGGGACAATTCAAAAAGGTCTGACAGATAGTTTAGTGTGTTGTTTCTTTACGAACAGAGGAGATAGGGTTGCTGAAAAAAATATTGTAGCTCATTACACTGTGCTACCTGAACATAAAGGGTTAAGGTATGTTTGTAATACTATTGCTTACAAATGCAGACTTCTGGTTTTGATAAGGAGCCCAGTCTGCATAGAGTACACTAGCGGCTCTTCAGATATATATGATTATTTAATTGGTTTTGGCTTAACAATTAACTAAATAAGTGTTCTAAGCAGTACGTAGTTCTTTGACATACAGGGGTGTAGAGTAGCCAACGTTCTCTAAATTTGCATCTGCACAAATAGGTTTTTTTTACTTTTTTAGAATTAATTGCCAGAAAAAAAATACAAGCGTAAAAAGTATTTAAACAAATTAATGTTGCAGTGCAAATCGTTATTTTTCTTATACGTCATATAGTATTCAACAAGGACCTGAAGATGTCGTTTACAATAGTGTATCTCATAGCCAGTTATTCCTTTCATTTTTTATCTAAATTATTGATAAAGGTCAATGTTAAATAGTTGACTTTTTTTACTAAATAGGAAGCAATAACTGACATAAGATAATTTCTAGCTATGATTTGAAGTTGCTTCAGGAGATGAAGGTCAGTGTCACCTTATTTGAGGGTGGTTTTTCGAAACTTAACATTATACATCAACTGACAAAACTGACGATTTAACACACCGCTATGTATCCGGGATAGTAAATTATAAATAAAGTATTTGAACTCCAGGGCTGATATGCATAAAACCACTTAAGTTAAGATATGTAATCGTATTACTAATTTGTCGTAGGACATGTAGAAAAATCCGTCCGTTCGGAACAAATCTTAACTTAAGTAGTTATATGCATATCAGCCCAGCTCTTCTTCGGTCGACATGCTCAGCTGCTCACAATTGAAAATCACACCTGTGTACCTGATTAATAACACTTATTTTCGGTTCTCTTTTATCTAAAGTTTTCCGTATGGTTACAAACATAGTTTCACTATTATGTAACACGGTAGATTTGTGTATTCATAAATGACCTTCAAAAATATTTTAAATGTTAAACAATTTTTGTTGAATATAATGTTTTTTTTTGCTTCATTTTTCAACTTAAGAACTCAAGATTGTTTACCAGCTCGAAACTTCTTATCGAATACACAGTGTTCAGTCAGTTGCAGATGCAAGACATACTATAGTCTTGTGATAAAATAACGTGAAAATAAAAGATCGTGATCGGATCGGCTGGTTGGCAAACTAACAATACCCTAGTTAATAAATCAAAACATGTAAAAAATAACACGAAGGGATGGCATAATCTAACTAGCAGATACAAAATATCAAACCGACTTTGTTAAAGAGAGATCCAAATAAGTTGAAAAATATAAGCAAGAGCTACACAAAGACCCCGGCATACAAACAACGCAGACATAACAAAATGTTAGGTAAAACGAACTTCCATCAAAACAGAGAGGGATGTCAGGTGCTCTGGTGTAACATCATACGCGTCATATTTCTTAAATTGTAGTACTGCGGTGACCGGTCCCCAGGTCCTGACCGTTTTGTATACGTAGTCTTCTATATGCACAGGGGCGGATCCACCCATTTATAAAAAGGGGGGTCCTAACCCAGGATAAAGGGGGGTTCCAACTATATGTCCCTATTCAAATGCATTGATCGTAAAAAAAAGGGGGGGGGGGTTCCACCACCCCTGGATCCGCCATTGATGCATAAAACGTATGATAAACGTTTCCATAGTCGAAATATAAAGTGTTCTTTAAAAATTGCATCATAATTTAATATACATATTTATATTTGTCTTTTTTTTTTTGTTTGCAAAAAAAAAAAGAAATGATCCAAGTTAACCGAAAGAAGAAGAAATCACGTCTTTGGGGGTATATAGACGAAATAACTTGATGAGTTGAAAGATAAAAGTATTATATATTACAGACTACAATCAAACCAGTTCATAGTTTAAAAACTTTCAAATCTATGTCGAACCGGATTTTCTACAACAGGATGAATGATTACAATGGTTACAATAAATTTTGTAAATATATGAGTAATACAACAAATCTTTCTCTTTCTTTCTCCTTATCTTTTTTTTTTTGTTTTATCAGTTAAAATATGATTATATAATATGATTATGTAACACATGCAGACAAACACTGTTTAAAATGTGATTATAACAATACAACACAGCGGGTTTATGACATGTTTATCAAAAATTCAAGAACAGTTTTATATGAAAAATTTTGTATTGATAAAATAACATAATATCTTTAGCAATCATACTTACGTCTCCTTATTTTTATAGAGAACGAATTTCACTGAGCACAGGGGCCCCATTATTTTCAAACGTATTTTTGTAAAGATATTAATAAAATATAGCTAAATCATATTTGGCGCTTATAAATTGACTTTCCAAAAACACATTTTTTTTGGAGTTAGTACTTTTCTATATACAACAGTCACTTTGACATCTTAAATCGACAAATAATTGCGAAATGAACAGATTCACCACCAAAGGAGAAGGTATGATAAGGCCACTTGTTGGCCCCCTGAATTCGAAAATCTAATTTTATTATAAATCCGACTTACAAATTTTCAGTAGTTCATAAGACATTAGACTGTCAATCATCAGTATATATCTATATTGTTTTTTTGATATTTCCATTAGGGCTTGAAATTTCTTGCATTTTCTGCAAAACTGTAAAAATTGCCCCAAAACACATATTAAGATCTTGTGATTAATATTTATATATTAGCCCATGCTTTACCCAAAAAGATATTATCATGCATGTAAATATGCACTAAAGATGTCAGATTATAGCAACCTATTTATTTAGCAATAAAATTAACATAATCTTGGAAGGTTGAACAATTATACTACTTTTGAAATTTCAGGTGTCAACTTGAATAATGTCTCCTATCATACGTCCTCCAAATTTACGTAATTTTAAAATCAAAATATAAGGTACAACTACCACCCATCCAGGTATATATTACACCAGAAAGTCAAGTTTGATAGAAGTTTTTCTTGCCTCTCCCCCCGAAAAAGCCCAACTATTTTACAAAAAAAAAAAAAAAAATTAGTTACATTTTTGACCATTTAATTTTTAATTTTCTAGGACATTTGACCTTTTGACGACTAAGATAATCCTATAAACACGAGAACAAACGCATATTGAAACCTAGTTAAAAGCCTCTAACAGAAATCTTGTACCTTAATTTAGATAATTATTTGAGAAATAAGATAACTTAAATAATGAATACGAGATTCAAGGGGGAACTATAAGTCATAGAAAAACAAATAGACAACATGATGATATAAACAAACATCAGTCCTCAAAATACTATAATAACAAAATAACAGGTTGTGAACTCAGGTGCTGCGGAAGGGTAAGTAGATCATTCTTCACTACTGCCACCAGTCATGTTGATCATAAAAGGTCTGCAGTATAGATCTAAAATTAAAAAAAACTGTTTTTCAGATTATTGTTTTAGGCCATATATATTAATGAAAAATAAGTAAATAAAACTAAATCTTGATAACTTCGACCTTGCTTTTATTCTTCTATGAATATTTGAATGATTTGATTATCGATATCCAGGATATAATTTCTCTCATTTTTTTCAAACATGATATGACATTGTCTCATATTTTGTACCAGTTGTTGGATTATTTGCAGCAGTGGTCACTTACATACATGTACCAATTTTATCGTTTTCAATTCTTGCCTTTTGAAACTTTTTGTCATTGTATTTGGAAAACCGGACAATATTGAACCTGATGATCGTTATATCCTCGCCACACGTGTTATTCCTTCAAAACTCTGGCCTTTGTCTTTTTTTATGCATCTCAAATCAGTCTACCGTAAAAAAGTCACATAAGAAACACTGTAATTAGATAATTAAATATTGTTTTTATTGGTACTAATATTGATTTTGTTATCAGTAAATTAAAAGCAAACTAAATATTATTGTTATATACATATACACATTCATGGATCTACAATCTGTCGATACCTGTATCTTGGCATTGCACAAGGTCATGTTTTTCTCTGACTGTTTATGACGTCTTTACACTAAATCCATTGGATGTTGGATATGTACGGATTGATAATTTAGTCTTACACTGTAAAAACGGCGTTTAGATTTGAAACACATCTACAACATGTTTAGATCTAAACGTGTTTAGGAAAGCGTTTAGGATCTAAACGGATATTCACGTAAACACATTGAAACCTAAACATGTTTAGAATTTAAACGTGTTGCAGTTTTATTATCTGTGAATGTTATCAGTAAGCTAAACATTAAATAGCATCTAAACACTTCTGAAACACTTTCTTAAACACCTAAACACATACCACTTCATTACTGATTTCACCTTTTTACTCTATGTTCCTACATAATCCAACGTATTCTGTGACACTATCTCGGTTTTATTGAAATGAAAATTATGGGACAGATAATTATATTTACAAATCAGTCCCAAGTATGAGTCAATATATATGTTCCTGGTATGAGCTACTTATGAGAACAATTCATATCATCTTCCCCAACTGAGTTCCGCGGCCATTTTTTGTGTTGTAAGAATATAGATTTACTATCAATTAAAATTTCTTTATGTTAAGCAATTACTTTCTTTTACTGAATCTTGATAGTATTTATAAGGAAGATATGAGTGAATATTTTCTCTAATTTCCGGAGTCGTTGTCCGACTATGATCTGATTTTATTTAACGAACAGAGTTATCTTCCTTGGTAATTTGATACAGACGCCTTCAGACCCGCCAAAGACAAACAAAATTTAAAACAATGGATCCCATCGACCAAGGAAATATATCTATGGACGATGCAACAGATACAGAAGATCTTGTTAGAATATTGACGGAATCAAAAACCAGCTTAACAATTATTACAGCAGCGGAAGGTAAGCAAATCCAGATTTCGTAAAAAGGGGGTGGGGCACAAAACAGGCTTAGTTAGGAATATGTGCATTAAACTGTTAACCTATATGTATCTCTTTAAGGTGTCCGGACCCCCTTCCCCTCATTGTTCTGACTCTGATATTGTTGATAGGAGCAAACATTTAATTCG